CTTCCTGAGCATCAGTTTCTGCCTGTTGCTTTTTGTGCTATTGCTCAGCACCACTGAGCAGAGCCTGGTTCTCGTGCCTTTGACAACCTCCCTTCAGTAGTGATAGACATTGATGGTGTCCCCACTCAGCTGTCTCTTCTCAAGGCTGAAAAGGCCCAGCTCCCTCAGGCTTTCCTCATAAGAGATGCTTCAGCTCCTCAATCAGTTTTGTTGTCCTCTGCTGAACCCACTCCAGAAGCTCCACATCTGTCTTGTACTGAGACCAAAACTGGACACAGCACTCCAGATATGCCTCATCAGGGCTGAAGAACCACCTCTCCTCATCACCTGTCATCTTGAAGTCCTCTTCTTCTTATCTCACAACCTTGATTATTGCAGGCTGGTTCTTACCCTTAGGGTCTGACTTCTACCCATAGCAATTAAACAGCTATTAGGTTCTGTTTTGTTGGGTCAGGGTTTTATGAGCCCTCAAAAGGGAACCTAATACACCCAAGGATAGCTTAGCTATTACTTTTGGAGGCGAAGAATGAGCAGGATGGCTTCTTCTGCAGTGTTTGAAACAAAAAGGTTTAATAAAAGGCAAAATAATAAACAGAAAATCCGAGCCAGGTACAGAGGTCTGCTCCTGCTAGAAAACACGTTCACAAAAGCCTCGTGGTCCTTTTGTTCTCTCCTTTTCTACCTTATGGCCCAGGCAGGACTTTTTGGCTTCTATCCAATTAGGTGACCCCAAGGTTTTAGTGAAGTCTCTGGGGTCCTATAAGGTGGCTTTTCACCTGATCGTTGGGAGAAACTTCTGGGCTTCTTTCCTTTTTTGGGGGACAAAGGCTAGTTTGCCACTCTGTCATTAGGGGGCATTCTCCTACACTCCTACAAACAGCATCATCAATTTTCCTTTTCTAGAGTAATTGAACTTCAGCACTCCATATTTTTTAGCTTTTATTAGTAAGTCAAAACTATTTCACAGTCCTTCCATGATTACATGGCTTATTACATGTTTTCCCTCTATTTTCCTGCTCTATTCATGTTAATTCTAAAATATCTTCCTTGTACCTCTTTCTCCCATCCAAATTCCTGGTCATGCTATTTTCCAGTTCTGCACTGCCTTCTAGACTCACTCCTTAAAGCCTTCAGAACATCTTTCAGTTCAAGACTTATTTTCCTGCTGTTTTCCAGAGCCCTGCCCTGTGGATGCAGCTGCCCGTGCGCCGAGCGCAGCACAGACGGCATCTGCTGGGGGACTGAGGAACACCAGGTGCCTGCTTCCAAGAATTCAGTTACTGCCAACATAAAAATCAAGTCTTGACTCATGTAAACAACTCAGGGCAGCCAATAAATAGCCTCAATGCTTTATTGTGACACTAAATTTTTTTTTAACAAATGAAAAGTTAACAAATATATGAAGCTTGATAGTTTCTCATAAACTGGGTGCAAAAGTTTTCTATGACAATGCTGGGCATGAATCCAAAACTGAACAATGCTGGGCTTAATTTGTAGCAGAAACATCCTCTTATTTTTTTTTCACTTGTTTAGCGGGGAGGCAAAGGGGGAAACTGATCTGTAACACTTTGTCGTGATTGCTCATAGCAGTCACTGAATCCGACATTGCAGCTCTGGTGGTGGCACCCTGAGGCAGGTATTGCCTCGGTGCTTGCCAGAGGTAAAACCTCTCTGGCTCAGCTTTTGTGAGCTAGGCAGTGAACACAGGGTGGCAGTCTACAATCTGAGCCTGGCTCAGATGGTTTTGGAGTTGAGGTCCCTAAAGCTCCTTTACCCATCATTTTATGTTAATAAGGACATGGAAAAAATGAACAAGTTATTTTCAGTACTTGTTGATAATTAAATGATATGTTTTCCATTTAGCACTTACTTCTAGGGCCTCTTTGGCAGTACACTTAACTCTACTAAGTACCATTTTTTGGCCTTATGCTTAATTAACAAACTCAATCTACTTTTTGGCTGAAGGCTTGAGTAAAGGCAGAGATAGAAGACCCTGGCCCATAGACTTTTTCAGCCTCAGCACTTTGAAGAAATAAGGTAGTAGATGCAATGAGTGCAGAGAGGCTCCAACTTTATACCATTTACAAGCAGAGATTTTGTCTTTGCAAGACTAAAATCACTAAATCTACTTCTGTGTGATCCTTCTCACTACTGAGTGCTAACAGCATAGCAATACAACTTCAAAGGTGTTTTTCAGTTAACTTTAAAAATAATTAGCTTTTATACTGTGTGTAGTACTAGCTACACATAGTATCATGTGTACTTTAGTTGACTATGAAGTTGCTTTGGTCTATCTACAGTATGGAGCTCCTACTTGGAGCCGACACCACAGCTTCATGGCTGGGATATTCTCCCAGAAGGTGAGAGGGAGAATTTGGAGATAAAATGCTTGAGGACAGCCTTTAATTAAGACTTCCCACTTCTGTAAGCAAATACTTCACTCATTCAGAGACACAAAAGAAGGTGAACAAGTCTTGCTTGTGTTTCACACTGAAAATGATAAAGAAAATAACATTTGCACTCAATGGAGACTGATGGGTATGTGAGGAGCAATTGGAGTGTATGTTCCTGTCAGTTCTAGGATAAAACAGGGCACTCCCCAGTCCTGACACATGAAGAGGTGTGGGGACCTCGCAAAAGATTTTCTCCTGGCCTCTTCTACCCTTTTTCACCACACAAAACCATTCATATATATTGATGTGAATCAGACTGGAATCTTTGTCAGTGTTTTGCTGGGGCTGAAAAAGGAGGACTACTTGGCATGCACAGGACTACTCTTGTGGAGGTGGTTTTTAAAATGGCTTTCCACTGAGATTCAACAAGGTATGGGATGCTGCTGTGGTGGGAGAGCATGCCCAGGACCTGAGGACACCCTACCTGAACTCTGAATTTCTGCCCTTGAACTGCTACATGCAGTAGCTGCCTTCAGCCTGCTCTTAGTACAGCCATTGTGCCCCTGGTCCCTTGCAGAGCTGGCTGCTGGGTGAATTGCTGAGCCTTTCATGGACTGCCAGCCTCCTTCCTGCCACCCATTCCCAGCTCTAGCATCCCAAACCCATGCTAAATTTATCAGAGGCTACTGAGCAAAATGTTACCATTCTGCCACTCCTCCCTCACCAGTTCTGGGAACAGAGGGTCTGGAGTGTCCAAGTACTTCTAGTTCTGCAAGCAAACACTTCTGTGCTAATGGTCATTACTACTACAAAGTCAGATAATTTTGCTTCACATCATTAACTCTGTTCAGATTCAAAACCTATGATTCTGGAAGCAAATGGGAAGTTGCTGTGGTAGTTGCTCTTTAGCATGTCTTTTAATACATAAACTTTACATTTCCAGAGGTAAAAGATTAAAAGATGTTTTTCTTTTATTTATAGCACATGTATAACCATACAAAGTTTGAAATGTAATCCAAATCTCAGTAAAATTAGATTGTTCCCAACATGTATAAATATGTTACTAATTCAAAGATGCGTTTCCTTAGCTTTGTTCTTTTAAAGTTTTTGCAAAGCTTTTACCTGCCTCAATTTTACAGACACACAGGATATTTCTTCCTTAAATAAAAAGATTTAGCTATTAAAATGACTGCTTATAACACTTTCTTACCAAGTTCTACTCTTCAGCAAAGAGCTTCAACATTCAAGAGAGGACACAATTTCATCTGGAAAGTATATATTTTTATTACTGAAGTATGCAAAAGCTTCCAGCTTCTATTCTTAGCTTATTAAGATAAATAGGTCCAAAGGGACTTCTAATAAAATAGCCAAAAAATGCAAGAGAAAAAACCCCAACACTTTACTGCCAATATTTTTATTATGACAGTGACAGAATGAACTCTCCTTAATGCTTGTTTTTGAGCTCCAGTATGTTGACATATCTTTCAGCTAACGAAAGAAAGCATTATCTGCAGGAACATAAATTCCTTTTCAGCTCATTAGAACAGCTCAGCACTCTTAATCATCTCTGACCTATTGTGAAGTCACACAGCACTATCTTTACTCTGTTTATCACCTGTATGTTACACCTGATGCTCTTAAGACATGATCCTTTCCAATTACTGCATGAACAGAAATTAAACCTTGGATACCCCACAGGAGAAACACCAGGGAGGGGAGCCAGGGGGATCAAGCAGGCAAGGGAAGATGCTCGAGTGCTAGCTAGAGCCAGCAAGCCAACATGCTTCAGAAGAAGCCTGGAAAAAGTTAGTCCAAGTTGATGAACTATTGAAATTGTTTGGCTGACATAAATTTTCTCAGCAATTGTGTCTTGATGGAATAAGTAACCCCTGAGGGTTCTCCTGCTCAGCTTTGTAAATGAAGTTTATACAATAATAAATTTTAATACACAAAACTGTTTGAAACAAGATTTAAAGAGAAAAGTATGACCGCTAACAGTCCAACTAATCACATTAATGAGAAAGCTGTTGCACAGCATGGCAAGGAAAGGGCAAGGAAAGGTGCAAAAGATCTTTTCACAGTTCTTTATAAAAGTCAGCGGCGTCTTTCAGAAGGTGCAGCTGACTTTATGTTAGTGAGTGGCTGTGGACAGATGTACTCAGGACACATAAACTCCAGTAACTATTAAGCTATCTTATGGACAGCCATTAAATAAGACCTTATCCCTCCCCCAGACACCATTCTCACAGCATTTCCTGTACAGGTTAAAGTATATAAATGGTGCAGGTAAAGTAGCACTTACATGGAAAAACCTTCTCTTACTGAGACATTCTGGTGTTCCTTAGTTTAAACCTGCAAACGTGGCAAGGATACAAGTTATTGGTATGAGCTGAAATATACTTTTTTGTACTGCCTGAGGATCTCAGAGAAAAGCTGCACAGGCTTCAAGAACATGGATGTAAAGTTTACATCTTAGACAACATATAAAAATGATAATGTATTTCAGTGGGTCTTATAATGTCAAAGCTAAAGTATGGGAATATTGCCTTTTCTCCTCACCTCTCCTGAAGGGGACTGAACAAGAACAGAATTAGTAGACAATTTAAAGTGAAAATCACTATTTTTATTTATAGGTGTTACAATACAATCACCATAAAACTTACAAGAACTGAACATAAGACTTGCATAGACTTTTCTTTAAAAATTAATTATTTTATTATTTTTTTCAGGCCAAAGACTCCCCATTCAGTGTTTGGCACAAAGACGTCTAAGAAGCTTCACTGTAGGTCTATAGTTATTAAATAAAAGAAAGAGCCACACATTTGGTTTATCTAGTAAGCAAAACTAATACACAGCTATGAATTTTTTCACACAAATACTGGAAGTTTTCTGGGAAAGACTTCTTCATGCTTTGGTTCAGAACTTGTAAATCAAAAGCAGGACCCATTTGCATAAATACATTCTTGGAAATGCATACAGTACTATGTGCCACATTCCTCTTGATAGAAGGCACAACTTAGGAAAGGAACATTCATGATATAAAACAGAAGCCAGTTCTGAAAGGCTAGAAGTGACACCCACTACTTCTGGCAATTTTTTTTTTGATCTAAGCAAGACCTGCTCTTATTTTCTAACACCAACACCCCGCACACCCAATCTATAACAAAACTTTAGTATTTGTAAAATTAAAGCTTTTCCAGACATGAACAATTGCAAAAAAAAAAACCATGAGCCAACATTTTTCTACTGGTGGAGTTACTTTCAAAACTAGACATGAGAAGTTACTATTCCCCAAGAACTCACGTCTCGAAACCAAAGAAATTATTGAAGGCAATTTTTTTTAAGTGTCATTCTCCCTGCATACTTAGTCAGGAAAACATGTACTTGGCAGTAAAACTCATCATTTTGTCTAAAGTGCTTGATGAAAGCAGAAAACCTATAAAAATGATAAATTAGTGAAACCAGAGGTGGAAGAGTTAAATTTATCATACAAAACAAGATAAATCGGAGCATTTTCACATTTTCTTGTTCCATTAGACAAGATACAGCAGAAAGATTCTTCACAGTGAAGAGCTCCCTTAGAATGTACAGAGTTTGTAACACATTTTTCTCTTACATTTCTGTGATATGAAGTAATTTGAAGTAAGACTCAGGAACAGTATTCCAAAAGAGAAAATATTATTATAGCTAAGAAATGAGGATTACATAGAAAGTTTTAGACATTTAAAAAAAAATCTTTGGGAAATGCTATTTAATACTTTCAATAATTTTAAATGCCCTGACACTATATATTTTACAGTAGAAATGCAAGAGCCTTTGGAACACAGCAATACTTGATTAGTTCTGTGCATGTCTTCTTTTAGGACATCATCTTTTCCTTACATCCCACTGAGCAGAAAAGCATTCCTTCCACAGATATGAACTTCTGGCCAATTAGACACTTGCTGCAACAGGAGCACAAGAAACATTCCCGCTTAGCATGCCAGTTGAAGTTGTTGTACGTTACACGCTGAACCTCTGGATCTATAGCATTGTGACAGCCTTGGCAGATCTGGTGAGAAATAAAACAACACTGAAATGAAGCACACACATGCTCTCTTCAGGTGCAATAAAAACTGGAATTCCTAAATGTTTTTGGAGGAGAGAGACAAGTATTAAAAGAAGCCTTTAAAAAAAGTCTCCAGCTTTAGATTTATTGTCTTTATTTTTGAAGTGTTTTGATTCAAATTCAGCTGAGGGCACAGAATAATAAAATGAACATGCAAGTTATTTGCTGCTGGGACTAAGCTTAGACAGTTAGGATGGTTAGGATTTCCCACTACCCAAATAATCATAAAAACCTTTTATGTCAAATGGCACAGATCTTCATATATTAACCTAAATATGTGAAGAGATTAGCTGCAAGTCTTCCTGTACATTGACAGCTCTGTGCTTATGCCAAATAATTAAGGGTTATGAGAAAGTCTTGAATGCAATTTATCTTAAAATCTAGTTGTTCACAAATTATAATTTAGATTGAGAAAGTTAAGAGGAAAAAAACAAGCCTCTCCAAAAAAACAATTCCTTACACCTACCTCAGAATATTAACTGCCAACTAGAGATGACTATTTTTTTCCTCTATTCACTATATAAATCACCTAGGTGCACATTAGACTGAGCCCCAACTAGTAGCTAGCTAACTTATAGCTATGAATGGACCATCATCTTAAATTAGTTTTCAGCATAACCACAAATCAAGAATTACCATTCTTTTCCAAACTTCCAGTTTTATCCTGTCCATCACACTCCTTTTTAACATGTGTGGGTAGAAATAAACGAAACAAAAGTACCTGAATTGCAGTATTTAACTACAGGCCTGTATTTAACAACTTGCCTGCCTAAAGTTGTGGGTTTTGGTTTCTTTTTCCTGAAGGGGAAGAAGATAACTGACTCAAGCCTAAATATTCAAATTATACTCTTCAGATACTCCCAGATTTAGAAAAAGTAAAAGTTTGAAGCTCCACAGACTTAAGTTCCCTTCCTTCACAAAACCAAGACATCTGTAAGGACCTTACCACAGCATGGTTCTTCATGTAGCAGGATTTGCAGACTGGCTTGTCATTCACTGTTATATAGGTTATCCCGGCCAAAACACAATCACAATCAAAACAGCAGAAGTGTTTCAGATGCCAGTTCTGCCCTTCCGCGAGAGTATATTCATTGCTGAATATCAGCTATGAGGAAGACAAAACAAGTGTACAAGTAAACAAGTACATTCATTTGAACAGTGTACCTTTCAATAAATCTAGCCTCTGGATGTTTTGTGATTTGCAAGGAACTCCCAGTGGTTCCACCATTGTTTGTTTCCTGAGAGCCTCCATGCTGCTCCCAAGAGCTCACAGATGCCAGAGACCCCAGGAGGACTGTTCCCTGTTCCTGCCCAGGGTCAGTTTGACCTTTAGTGTCCCTGATAAGGAAACAGCTGCATAAGTGTGACTTCTTGGAAGAATTTGCCCTCACATATCACATCCTATGTCCCTATAGATTGTGCAAAATCACCACTAAATCCAAAGCAAACTATGGCTTTTCTGAATGTGCAGTGTCCATACTGGTTTCAGTTCTTTGCAACTAAAATATCAACTATACTGGTGAAGGCGTATCATCTTCCTGCACTGAAATGTTTTAATAAAACTCCTAAACACTTATCAGGGGAGCAAACTTTTGTGCTAGAAGAAAGGACTAGGATATTTCCTACCTCATCACATCCAGCACAGCGGGGTCTTTCACTGTCACAATAATGTCTCCCACAATACAGGTTACCATTCTTCCAGAAATAGATCATGTCTACTAGAAGTTCACTGCAGGTGCAACAGACGAAACAACCTGGATGCCACAATTTGTCATATCCAGCACGTTCTGCATAGACAGCTGGGTCACCTTCCTTCATGTTCCGTTTGCAGTGATAGCAGGACTGGAAAGAGGTTATTACCAAGTTAGTTAAGTCTTTGAGAGCTATATTTATAAAAATTACATACTATTGATGTATTTAATAAGTTCCATCTTTCCAGACCGAAATTAAAGCATTAGTTTAATCCCACAAGTAGACAGCAGTGGTTGAGGATATACCTGTATTGTAGTTTAGGTTTAGCTAAGCCATTCAAGAGGATACACATCCATTGTCATAGCATTAGTGCTTCTTAAAAGGTTTGTTGTACTTTGCTGTATTCACATTCTGCAATTGCAGAGCAGTGTTTAAAGAAAACAACAGGCAATTAAAATTCATGTTATGTTCTGTAAACCTTACATGCTTAGGAACAAGGACAGAATAATGATCCTCCATCCAAGCTAACAACTATGGCTAGAATGCATGACAAGGAAATGGCTGTACTTATAGGTCATGAGAGGATCAAGCCATATCTGCATCACTGATGGGGAAAATAAAAAAAACAGAGAATATTTTAAACTGATTCTGCTTAAAGCTGTGTTTTAGGGATGCTAGTCACTCATGGCTGCTGTCCAACAGTCTGTGATTTTAGGACAGGAGCGTGACTATGGATAAACTACAAAGCACACATACACAGCTACACTACAAATAGTTCCAGAGACTTCACAATCAGTGTTCTGCCCTGTACCTGCCTACAGAGAGGGTCGTGCCATCAAGTAAAAAACCACAGATGATTTATGTTTCTGAAGCAAAATGTTTTTATCTACAGTTTAATCACCAGTTTGGCATTTCCTGCACTCCAGCTGGTCTGTGGACTGGGCTGAACATCCTGGGAAGGTTTTCCTCTATGACTCACATCAGCCACAAATGGCTTTGTGTGTTCATATAAAAATAAAATACATATAAAGTGCCTCGGCTACAAGGCATATTGATCAGATCTCAGATGCCTGACAATTTCAAAATATAGACAAAGCCACCAATAGAAGAACAACTTGGAACAGAAACAGAATGCAGAATGTAGGGAAATTAATGAAAGGGAAAGTTCAAATATACATGTATATAAAGGTTTCTGACCTTTCTACTTTAGACCTCATACTCCATGAGAAGTCCACTGGAAGGTTAAGTAGCTGCCCAGACCTAAGTCTAGGCAATGTGATCCACTTGCCTACCATTTACACAACTTTGTACCAGCTTTGGTAGTTAAAAGGTACATAAAAATTTCCTCCTTTACAAGATGAAAATATGCTAAGTACCTATTTTTCTTTAATTCAGGTTTCAGTCATGGTGAAAAAGCTTTGTATTTGTAAACACTGAGACAATTACTATAGGTACATTTACATTAACAGTGGAGGTATATTTACATTAATAGTGGAGACCTGGTTGTTAGTGTTGTTTGGTTTGCTTTTTATTTTTTATCAGGTTTCAAAGAAGTGCAGTCTATTCCCTAATGAATATTAATTTTTCAAGAAATTCTTTTTAGCACAGCTACAGGAATACAGCTTTCAAACTCAGTCTGAGAAACAAAGGAGAAGCAAATCTGATGAGCAAAAAAGCAGAACCAATAAAAAAAGTGTAGACATGGATGGCATTCTTCTGCTAAGTATTTAAGAGCTCTTCTGTATCAATTTATGCTGAACTGTCAAAAAGCAGTTGAGATAATACTAAATCATACAGCTGAAACAAAATCTTGTTGCAATAATTAGACCCCCCCGCCAAATACTTAAAAATAACATCTAAATCCTGATTACTTAACCCAGTGTAAACTCAGTACCTAACAACAGATAAGAAACCCAAATGTTCACTTATGCTATAAAGCACCTACAAGCCTCTTTCTAAATCACAGCCCACAGTGATAATACATGCTTGGCTTAAACTGCAGGAAGAATACTCAGGTACTGGAGTAAGAAAATTTTGGAAGTGATAAACAGGGGCAATGTAAAAAGCAAAGCACCTTCTGACACAATTACTCAAGAGGACAGAGTGCCTCCTACTATTGACTTATTATAGTCCAAAGCAGTTTGTCAGCAGGGCACAATGCAAGATGTCATTTCTGTAGGTCTTCCTTGAGGAGATAAGTTAAGAATTGCTACTGTGAAACTACACTAAACCAGCAGGAAAGGCTGATGTAAGACAGAATGACAGTAACCTAATCAAGCCATGGTAAAATAACCTGTTTCTTAGATTTTCCATAACAAGACAGCGACAAAAAAAAACAAAACAAAACAAAAAAACCAAAATAGCTACAGGTAACCAAATGGCACAGCTTGAAAATTTTTAGGGTAAGTGGTCATGTCCAAAGCTAAAACCTAAGTGCTGATTTTATATTTCACACCAGTAGTCATATATACTGTCAGATCAGAAACAAACAACAAAAACCACATCACTCCCCTCAATAATACCAAAAGCTACATTCTACAACCAATGTTAAGGAAACCTTTTTTTGCATCTAGAACTTGTATATTAATTTTCTGTAAGCAACCTGCAGACAGATGTTTTTAAGGATTCATACACATATTAGCAACATTTCTAGAAATCAACTTATAGTAGAGCTTTTCACACTCCTAAGTAATGTCTACCTCCACTAAACTGATTTAATGTTCCTTCAGTAATCCTACCCCTATTTTGAATTTTTAATTGGTAGTTGAGGTATGTACAGCAGTAGTTATGTCAGAAATACTTAATTAAGGATATAATTTTTGAAATATCAATGAAAACTGGGTAGTTTTATATACTTTGTTTTTTGTAGAGCTATTAGAAGGAGAAATCAGATGACACAAGAAAAAAAACTTGTAAGAAAATGGAGCTGAATATGAAAAGAAGGCTAGTCAAAAGAGCCATTGTATGGTTCAACTTGTTGGACACAGGATGGAGACATGTTACTTTATTATTCCCTAATTTAATTTCACTTGACAAATTTATCAAGTGGGTAATTTCAGTGCTTTTACAAAAAAGAGGCAAAAACAAGCTTCTAAAATTATACTAACTCTTCAAGAGGAAAAGAATGCAACTATTAGTCCATAAGATGACACAAACTTTTTGATTGTTATTCCATAAAAGCCACCCTAATATACTATCTCCAAGCTAACATGTTTTTGCACTGAGGATATAAGTGTCACCTAGGAAGTTATTTGCTGCAATGTATTAAATACTATCAGAACCCATGGCTCTATGCAGACATTCACAACATTTTCCAGTTCCTTCTTTCCCTCCCCAGATTTTTGCTATTCCAAAATAACAAGCAATCTAATTGGTTTAAAATGACCAAATAGAAAGTATATCAGATGATAATATACCTTTACATATACACCTTGCTTTATGTTTCCCTTCTTATACTTACATATTGAGATGCTTTTTGATTTGGGGACTTTTCCATTGTTCCAACAGCAGATGAGGTACCTCTGCCACCACCGTTTTTCAAGTTATTCTCATCAGGAGCTCTCACTTCCACATCACCAGGGAGCTTTAGATCTCCTACACCAAGTGCCTCTTTTTTGTACTTCTTCACAAATTGCTCCATATGCTTAACTTCACTGGGGGAAAGCTCGTGGCACTTTGAAGGATCCTGATCGTGAGCAGGCAGCTGCTTTGCCAACTGCTTCTTCCTGTATTGCGCGCCTTCCGAGCCAGCAACAGGCTGCTTCTCCCTGGGCAACATCTGCATGTACTGCTTAGCCTGAATCAGGAGGAATTACACATCAGATGGCACTTCAGCTACAGACCCATTCTCATAAGCAAACACAACTGAAGTAATCTCTACTGTTTTTAGCGACAGTCAAATTTGTCAAAAACAAGTTTTTCCATAAACATTAAGCTCCTGAAAAAGTAATAGAGATAAAATACAGCAGATGCATTAACTGGCTTCTTCCCAGAGTAAGAGAAAGACTCCTTTTTAAGCCTTTTACAACATACAGAAAAGAGTTATTACTTCTCTGAATAAATAACATTTACATGGCACCTTGTCTCTATCTATGAATACTGATCATGAGTACAGTCTTAGAAAAGTAGAAACTGAAATAATCTGCTTGGGGCATACAGCTCATTGAAGAAATAACTCTAGCTAAATCAAGAGAAAAAATAAAACCCCTAGTTTAAATAAAACCATGACAAGGCTAAAAATCAAATTGGTAACTGAATGTTAAATAAGTCTTAGATGCACAAGGTTTGATTAATTCACTGAAAAGGAATAATTTCAGATAATGTAATTCTGACATGGACTGCACAACATTTTGGTACAATAAATTAGTAATCAAAGTTTGAAAAGTGAAGCAAGATCCTCAGAAGGCTATCTACCATCTCATCTACTTCAGCTGAAAATATACTGGAAGAGAGCTGTTCTTTCAGATGTCAACACTGACCTTGTTCTTGCCATATACAGTAAAAGCCATAAGCAAGACTAAATGTTCCCCTTAACTTCAAACAATGATATAAATTGATGTGGTGTTAGGTATTGGTTTTTTTTTTCCCTTTAAGCCTATACTCCATGCAAATGTTTCAACTTCATTAAAATAAAAAAAGAAAAAAAGGAAATAAAAAAGAGAGCAAGTTACAGAAACTGGACTCCAGGGACTTAGTAGATAACTCTTAATCCTGCGTATTAAAAAATACCTCACCTCCCCAGGTTTTTAAGAATTTCTACAGAAAAACTTCCATAAAGCAAGATGACAGATGCAAGACTCATTAAACAGGCACCCTATTTTCAGTTTTGAGGAGGAAGAAAGGAAGACTACAAGAGGCAAGGTTATCCTTCCAGTAAGCTTTACTACTTTATCTCCCACCAACTCTTGCATTGAACACGAAAAAATGTGAGTTGGACTTACAAGTGTCTGATTCTGAACAGGAGGAGCCCACTCATAAGTCACAGTATCGATGGTTATGTTCTTCTTGGCTGGCACTGGGCTGGTCAGTATCATAACATTGCGTTTATACACGGGATTGCCATCATTCTTCAGCTTTGCAATGAGGGTTGTGTACTTTGTATCCTCAAGGAGTTTCCCCACTTTCCGATCTTCCTCACTGCTTGACGGGATATCATGCTCCTCCTGGCCACATTTGCAGTTGCGACATATTTTCCTGAAATTCACGGAAACAGCAACAAAATTACAATCTCACACCATCTTGGTGTGTAGTAACATCACTGGAACCCAAACCTTTGTTTTCAGTGCTTTGTTTAGGAAATATACACTTTTTCTGCAATATATCAAACACCTCCTTCATGTGTCCTGTTGTATTATTTACATTGTTTATTTACAGATACTGTTATCAGATAGATATCAGTCAACTACACTAATGCATTTTTCATATGAAGTTATGTAATTTCTTCAGTTACATCTCAGTACGGATCAAACACATACATATCCATTATCAGTCACCTACCAGATTTAGTGTAAGATAACTCCATACATCAACATGATTCCCCCAGCAATCATTTGCTTGGGATTTTAGTTTTTCAATTGCTCTTCATACATTCAAAGTTACACGCACTATACTATTTTCTTCATATGTATTTCACTGTATGCATGATATTTGGTTATCACTGGGTTGCTATTGCCTGGAAACAAATATTTCCAAGAAAGGAAGAAAATGCATAGACATATGAAAAGTATAATTGCATCAAGTTCTGTTCAAAGCACAGAATTTAAAGAGAAGATGAAAGAAAAGTTAAAGGCTTATATGGATAAAGGCTTTCAAAACAGCTCTGAACCAAGTCAGAAGTACTCTGGCACATGCTGCAGAGAGACTTTTCACAGAAAACAGCCTTAAAAGGTAGAAGTATATCTACTTCCTTGGATATAAATTATATTCTTTCATATACAACATACTTCAACTGCTTTGGCTAACGAATATTAGAAAGTAATTTGTTACCTGAAGTATAATTAAACAATTCACATATAATGAACAGAACCTTGGATTAGACAAGCTAGTTCACTATTTATTAACAGCACCTCCAGAACTTCAGTTCAAAGCAGTCAGCCAGAAATCAGTGAAACTAGATGTTAACTAAAGGTTCTTATTACAGACTAAGAAAACATACCAACCTTCTGGATCTCTAGAGTTTGAAGGGGAATGAGCAGTGTTTCACCCCATTATTTATCCTTCATACAACAAATAGAATAAACTATTAGCTATAAAATGCTTCTGAATCCTGCCTGCCAAAAGTCATCAAACTCTAACATTGTTCTGCATCTTGCTTTATATGGCCTTGAAGGCAGGTTAGGTACCTTAAGATATATCACAGGAACACAACAAGACCATGCCATGACTACAGCAAGCCCCTGAGGTAATGGGAAAGGAAGGAGGACCTTTAATTGGCAACCTGAAGTGATACACAGCCAGCCCCAAACATATGCTCTCTATGTGAACACCAGTTTAGAATGTGGGGTACTAACATTTCAGTGTGGTGGATGCTGCACTGGTCATTTGGATACACAGAAAACATACATTGTGGTAATTTCAGTTATAAAGCCCACTCCAAATAAAAATACCTAAACTCTAAAAATGAGCCACTCATGCAAAAATAAGAATGTTAAGTAGAAGTGACTTCACTTTGCAACACAAATACCTAAAGAGATCACTGAGATGTAGACTCAGCTTCCAACTCATTTTCACAACAGGAAAGATGTACAGAATTTCAAAGCTGATACTTACCTGAACAGCTACTATACACTAATCACTTTGCAATCTCCCAGTTTACCAAAACATTCCAGCATGAACTAGCATTTCCCACTAAGCTTAAGCTTCACTATGCATCTCAAGCACTCGAAACATTAAATCTTTCAAGATCTTCAACATCTGTCTACACAAGTCCTTTACATAGCTAATACTTAAAGACTATTTAATATACTAATAAAGCAATTCATATTCACTTTGCTCATCTTTTATGGCATGCATGTGATTATACCTTATTACCAATTCTCAGTCACATCTTTTTTGAGATCTAATACCAGGTGACAGAATCAGACCTTGCTTTTTGCAGATTTAGTGATTTACATCATGATCACCATGCAGCTTTATGCCTCAAAGCACACAGGCCACTGGAATTGAAGCAGTTTGTCCATCCAAACTAAACACTTTATTTACTCTTATAACTTAAGTCTTTAGCAACAGTAACACTCAGTTTTAGTCTTGTGTCTTGATAGGATGTGATTTAACAACACTGGTGAAGACCAGACATTCTTTGGCTCCCTGCACAGACTTATGCAATTGAAGTACAATCATGCTGTCCAGAACTGCTCTGCTTGCAAGACAGACCTCAGTAAGAACAGTTCATACTGCTGTATTGCCTGTGTGGTCAAAAGTGCCACATGACACAGGCTGCACATTCTACCCCCACTACAGCATCCAACCACAGCAAAGCAGCATTGACAGCAGTGAAAGACCAGACCACCCTCTACAAGCTGTGGTGGAATTCATCCTAAGACTTTCATGTGTGCTGGGAAAGCCATAAGAGCACCTTATTTTTGCTCATGTTATGTCACAAAATTGCATCTTTACTCCTAATAGTATTCCTTCAGAATAGCTTAGAAATCCTGTTTCTACTTTCCATTAGATGAACACTGTAACTCACTACTGTTATTATTCTTGGTCTCACAAGAAGGCTTAACATTTCACTGACTGCAGTATCTGTGAGAGATTTTTTTTTTGCTTTCCTCATAAAGAGGTAGTGGTAAAGAAGTGAAAGCATGCAATTTATTTTTAGGTCCTTCCTGCGACTCACTGTGAAAACTGGCATAAAACTACTGTGCTTTATACTTGCATTGAAAATAATGAGGTACTCCCTAATCTTCCCCACTAGGAACCCACTGAAATTAAGAATTTGACTGTGTACATTTCAATCAAATCTCCTTGCTCTTTCAAAATGAAATGAATAATTCTTTGCAAAGGTTTGCAAGAAGCTGTCACAGGGGATATGTTACAAGCGTAATAGTGGCCTTGGCATTAGAACTTGTGCACCATTATGCCTCTCAATACAGGACAAAACAATACAGAAAGAATATGGAGAATGCTGAGTCACAACCGATGTCAGCATATCTCAGCAAATCCCCCATGGCTGTTACCATTTCCCATGCTCCCCAACATTCCCCCTGGACCTCAGCCACATGAAGATGTCCATACAGGTGCTAAGAGCCCAAAAAAGTATCCTGTCCTGATTTATAATCTTTCCTCTTGAATAATTTCCTGCACGAGAAGATATCCAGTTGATACATACATAACTGTTCCTGAACAATACTGTTCACAATTTAGTCCTAACTTCTTCACTAGTTGCCACAGCACAATCCTGCTCATTAGTCACTCACTGTCCCCTCTGAAGAAGGTATATGGCCAATGAATTCTCTTTAGAATAGATTGGCTGGTAATTTTTTTTTACTGTATATTTTGGGGTATCTAGTATATAGTAAGGAGGTGTTGGGGACTCCTCCTTCTGTTTTCACAGCTCTCGGGACCTCAAAGCACAGCAACATCCTGTCGTCCCCCCCATTCCAGCAATTTAAAAAGCTTTTCTCACTCAAAACATGGAAGATAGGGAGAAAACTTCAAAATCTGTGGAATGAAAAGTTTGGTATCGCTGTAAAGACAGGTCTATTAGGTAATGCCTTGATAGCAGGTCTTCAGTAGTTAGAAAGAACAAGGAAGAAAGGTATGGAGATTCCATTCTCTCTAGTGATGAATTCCTGTGTCCTGAATGTCTACTGACATGAAGGATCAAAGACTTCCAGTTCCTTCTCCAAAATCAAATATAAGTCATCCTCCTGATTGCCTACGTTTCAGTGTATGGAGAAGAAAAAGATGGATCATGATCCTTTCTATGCTGGCTCCTGGTGACAGGAGGCAGCAGCTGCAAGCACAGAGAAATCCTCAACAAAGACCTGGCAAGTTGGAGGCTTGTGCCCTCCATGCAGAATGGCTAATCTCCTCCTATCACAGAATCAGAAATCCAGATGGTCTGAATATCTCCAGTGAGGGAAACTCCACAGCCTCTCTGGGCAACCTGTTCCAGTGCTTGGTCACCTGCACAATAAAGAAGTTCTTCCTCATATTTACGTGGAACTTCCTGTGCAGCAGTTTCTGCCCATTGCCCTTTGTCTTATTGCTCAGCACCACCAAGCTGAGCATAGCTCCATCCTTTTGACACCCTCCCTTAAGATACTGATAGACATTGATGAGGTCCCCTCACTTCTTGAAGCTGAACAGGCCCAGCTCCCTCAGCCTTTCCTCCTGAGAGACTTGCTCCAAGATGCTCCAGCCCTTTAATCATCTTTGCTGCCCTCCACCAAACCCATTCCAGGAACTCCATGTCTCTCTTGTACTGAGAAGCACAGACTAGGACATGAAGAATGCACCTCAGAACACCACTGGCCTTCTTGGCCCCCAGAGCATACTGCTGGCTCAGGGAGAGCTTGTATTCCACAGGATGCCCAGGTCCTTCTCCACAGAGCTGCTTTCTAGCAGGTCAGCCTTCAGCCTGCGCTGGTGCATGGCATTCTTCTTTCCCAGGTGCAGAACCCTGCATTTGCCTTTGCATTTCAGATGGTTTTCCTCCACCCATCTCTCCAACCTCTCAAAATCCTTCTGAAGGGCTGCACAGGATTCTAGCATATTGGCCACTCCTCCCAGCTCTGCATCATCAGTGAAATCAGTGAGAATGCACTTTGCTTCATCATCCAAGTCTATGATTTTATGATTCCTTCTGTTATGTTTTCTTGCTCTTTATGTAGCTATAAGTAATTGCCACTGCTTTGAACTGCATCTCACTGCTTCCCTGTCAGCTGTAGTATCAGAAAATCTTAAAGCCAACTTATGGCTCTCCTGCCTTCCACATACTCTATCTGTGCAGAGATGCCACATGATGAAAATGATCATTCCCAAGCTTAAGAGTCTTGTTTTCAGAGATTTATTTTAACATCTTGGGAAGTCACAGAGGGGACAGTTACCACTTTCTGGTATATATGCAACCAAGATAAATCAGAACCTTCTCTTCTGTTTTCAGCAACTTCTCACTCCTGTCCCCATAGTTCCCTCTAGTGGGAAATACATTCCCAAAGAGCAATATGTAACTGAGAAGCGATCTCTTACATCCAGCCTGACCCACTGGACATGTGTGGAGGCTGTTTTGCAGCCTAAAATAAATCTAACACCTAAATTAAAAATACCTTCTCCACCTTCTGCTGCTGTTATACTTGGACAGAAGCATGATTATGAAGACTATTTTAAAAGCAAAAGCTGTTAACACACTAAGATAAACCAGACAATTGTTAACCATTCAACTACCATTGTAGATCACATCTCTGATTTTATTCATTTCTTATTCAGCTTGCAACACTGAGGCTATCAGAACTTCAAAACTTAGGAATAAATTTTACTAAAGGCTTGGTTTACCACTATTTCTATACTAGCCTCAATTTACAGCTCTGTGCCTAGAAAACCTGCCCATACAGCATGGCAAGATTTATAGCACAAATGTCTTAAAACAGTATGTTCCATCCCAGGAGAGATCTATTCCAAATACTCTCAGTATACAGAAGAAGGCTGTAGTAACTCCTTGTAAAGCTCTGCTACTAGATAGGTACATGTGGGTTTTTTTGTGCACTTTACAATCTGACTCCCTAGAGGAAAAATTGAGGGTCTTTTGTATGGAAGTACAAAAAGAAATGACACGTTGGCTCTTTGAGGAGCAGCATTTTCCTGCATCAGACCAGGAGCTGCGCGATGTGCCGAAGCTCCTCGGCCGTCCCCAGGAGAGGGCAGTGTCAGCCTCGCACAGCCCGCGGCAGCTCCGCGCCCGGCACACGCTGCGCTACTGCCCCGCTGGCTGGGCTGCATCCGCCTCCTGTGGAGGTCACTGTCTTCACAATGCCCTACAGAGCTGTGCTCTGGGCTTCTGGCTAAAACAGCCCTGACAGGACTTGTTAGTACTGAGCACTTCCGGCACAAAGTCAAGGCTTCCCCGTTTCTGAACTCTGCCCCCACCCCACCTCGGCAAGTGGAAAAGCTGGGAAGGAGCACGTTTGACTCAAATTGGTCAGCAGGGTTTAAATACTCTATAATGAAAAGCGATAAAACAGAAATAGAGGATGAAGACAGCATTTCTGACTTCTTAAGTCCTTACTGCTTGGAGACTGGCTGGGCATCCATGTGCTGGTGGGAGAGGGCCAGTGATTCCCTTTGCAGCACTTGCTCACCCACCACTGCACCCATTAAACTGACTATTTCAACCCATGAGTCACCTCACTTTTGTTTCTCCTTTTTTGTCTCCCACCCTGATGTCTGGGACAGACAGTCAGCAGTTGTATGGGTGTATGGGTGCTGACCAAGGTCAATCCCTACCCCCAATTATTCTCCCAACATGTAACTGTTTCTCTAATTACAATTCTTACTTCAACATGTGTCTTACAAGTAGCAATTAAGTAAGTGGGTAAACTTGAACTGATTTTGATTATTCATGTTACAAGACAATACTCTGTCCATTTGTGCTAGTAGTTTGTTCCTACTTAAAACAGTTTCAGATTTAAAGGCTAACAACTAAGTAAAAAGATATTTGGGAAGCAATGTGATCCATTCAAGTGGTGAACTAAGGAAATGTATGCATCATGCAGAGCATATTAATATATTTTTCCCTTTGAAAACTATTTACTCTACTTTCGGTAGAAAGTAACACAATTTCTCATCTAACAATGGATAAACACTATTAACTGTTGCACTTTTGAAAAATTCTCTTTTATTGCAGTACTTACATGAATTCTGTTTTATTTAATATTACTTCTACACATGACCCCTCAGTGATGCAGTGGATATTGAAAAAGTCCTTCCATAAATTATTTCTTTTATCTTTAGATGATCACATTTACCTACTAGTGCATAAACACTTCTTGGTATTTGTAAGTTGTTTCTAGTTGTTTCTATAGCTACATATTACAGATAAGAATACAGCTTCTTCATTGTGTATCAACTTATAACACTTTTTTGCTAGGTTTTGGGGTTTTTTTGCCTGATTATTTTCTAAGCAGTCTCATCTGCAGTCAAATATTTGGGTGAAGATGTAAAATTTCCTAGGCCTTATCAGCACCTAATGTCACTACAGCTACCTCATAAAACAAAACAAAATTCTACTGCAAATGCAACTTTCACTCCAGCTAGGTAGCACTGGTTAAACGCAATAATTTTCATTGATAGTATGTGCTAGTATTATTAACAGCTATTTTTCTGTTCTTTTCAGGCTTTTCCCTTTGAGAGGGACCTTTTTTCTAAAAAATCAGAATTACTAAGCTTCATCTTAGAGCATGTCCAGTATTATGAGTGAAATGGGCTAGCAATACATAAATGCATTAATATAAAAATATACATATTGTTTCAGTAAAGCAAGAAAGTTCTTAATGGAATAGAAAGTTTCTGCAAAAGTAAGGACAGACTATTTACTGTGATCATCAGCTCACTGATTTAGGAACAGTACACCATCCAAAGCTCAGTATTATCTAATTTATCTGAATTTATGTGACACACAAGTGACACCTCCTCCCCATCTAATAAGTTATAGGTGTACACAAAGTTACAAATATTTTTAAAATAATTTTACATAGCATCTCAGATCAAAGCTTATGTATTTGGTCAGGAGTTGAAAAGCATTTTATTACAGAGAGAAAACACACTTCTTCCCTGTCATGTCTCTTACAGTAAGGCTGGACATTTTTACAAATCTACTTCAATTGTTTAGTCAGCTAAAGCAAATGCTGCAGTAGAAGTACCACCATTCACTTCAGGGCAGATAAAATGCATGTTCACAAGTGATTAGATACACTGTTGTAATGCATCTGGGAATTTCTGGCCCTGAACCATTGTCAGCTTTTCAGAAACATCTTAACAGTTTAATTGAGAGAGAGAACAAAAATAGTTACTTAGACATTTGCATACACATGTCAAGGTCTGCATTGCTGAATCACAGCTTAGGATACATTTGGTGTCACTTACCTCCAGAAATGAAGCTCAAATCCTTCACACTTTTCCTTGCATTTTGCTGTTGTAATGCATCTGAGAATTTCTGGCCCTGAACCATGTCAGCTTTTTAGAAACATCTTAACAGTTTAATTGAGAGAGAGAACAAAAATAGTTACTTAGACATTTGCATACACATGTCAAGGTCTGCATTGCTGAATCACAGCTTAGGATACATTTGGTGTCACTTACCTCCAGAAATGAAGCTCAAATCCTTCACACTTTTCCTTGCATTTTAAGCAGGGGGCACCAAATCCTTCCTCATGGCCCAAGCCCATCTGTGTACAGATAAAGATGACTACAGTCAGCTTCAAGTATTATGGTGCATGAATGATCTTACTGATGCCTTTATAATCTGCAATCAACAGCTAAAGCAAAAGATAAAGCATTTGACTAAGCTGACATAAGGACAGCATGTGGGGTGCACTCACCTTCCTATTGTACCTATACAAGTAGCAGTGGAAATCGACAGCTAAAGCAAAAGATTAAGCATTTGACATAAGGACAGCCTGTGGGGTGCACTCACCTTCCTATTGTACCTATACAAGTAGCAGTGGCCACTCAATCCTCTACACAGGACTGAGCTAAGAAGGCAGAGGTAGCCTTAGTACTTTTCTGGTGATGTTTCTCCCCAACCCAACTTGCTCTACAAACTTCACACGAGCAAAGAAGCAGATTCTTTGCAGCATTTCCTTAGGTCTAAGGCTGTGAATCAGAGTAACTGAGGTCACAAGACCTCAAGTCAAAGGACATTTAATCCAGTTATCTGGACAAAGTAATTTACAGTATATGACTTGGCAAAATACAGGAGACCAAGAAATAAACAGACCCTAGATTTAGTTGCACTAACCTCGAATAAAGGAAACAACTAAGTGGCTTGTCTAGTATTTCCAAGTATATTTGAGGCTACTCTGATAGTGACTGAGAGTAACATATACCTTTTACAATTACATTTCAGCTGGACTCATACCAGCTGACTTTCTGAGGGGAAAGAGAAACAGCACAGTTAGCAAAATCAATGACCAGAAGCGGTATGTGAAGGGTTTCAAAAGGATTGATGACCAATTCATAATGCAGAGGAAATATCACAGACAACAGTGCAGAGTAAAAATGTTCACACAATATATTAACACATCGCCAAATTTAACTGAGTAACAGCCACTTGTAAGTTTGAGGTGATAAATATGAAGCATGATAACTTACACATTCATATAACACAGTAAAATTAAAGTGTCTCACTCCAGCACTTAAAACCTTTGAGGAACACGGCTCTCAAATCAGACAGATGAAGGACTATGGAAATGTGGCCACAGCTGGGTATGCAGGCTCATGCCCAACATGCAGAGAGGAACCCATCCCTACACCCCATGCAGCAGGAGGAGTGCTCCCAACTAGCTGCAGGTAGAAACAGCTCGCCTGCACTTTAGCTTTTACCATGAATGGAAATGGAGCTAGAACTGACAAGTTCTGGTACTAACTTTAGTTCTGGCAACAACACAATGTCAAAGTTAATTATATGTGGTGATAGTGTTTTATTATTAAGTTTTCCATTTACTGAGAGAAATCATACAATTATTGTTGTATGAACAAGGATATAAACCAGGACAACATTTCAACTTGGTTGCTGTCCAAAATAAAGAACAGATTATTCACAAACCACTTGTTTAAAACAGAACACATGGTAAAATGCAGGGAATACCATGTTTTCGGTTACTTTATAATTAAAAGGATCACTGCCTCAGCAATCATCAGACATCCCTGAGGAAAACTACCCTGAAGATCGTGTCTAAATAAGAAGAATGAGGTATGTTGGCAGCTATTAAGCTACTGCAGGGATGGACAGAAGGTCACGACATTATTTCTTCCATATCTGAAAGATGAAATACAAGCTGGCTGTGATCATGGTGACATCTTCATCAACCTAAGGGCTTATGAAGTCCACATGTTATAGGTGCTAACCTGAATCCTACCAGTATATGTGTAAAATAAGCATAACTTTGAAGATTAGGTTCTTCATTCACTACGCTTTTGAGCTAATTGGTTAATAAAAATTCATCTGAAGATGAGCATTTATAGGACACTTTTCATCTGGAATTCAGAGATCTCCCATATACACATACACACACACACACACCACAAATCACAAAAAAACTGAGCACTCTTCCCAATTCACACTCAAAGAGAATAAGATATTGACCAGGATGTTTTCTAAAGGAAAAAAGGAAGATAAAGCAAAGCAACACAAAACAACTTCTTTTTTTTTGAGGGGGTGGTAGGGGAAGGAGGAAAAGACAGGTTGGTTTTCATTTGGTGGTGTTTGTCCTTGATTTTAGTGTCATCCTCTCTAAAAAGTTGTTAAACTTAAAATATGATTGCACTGCCCTCATAAACAAACAAAACTCCCCCAAAACCCCAATCTGCCCTCTTCCCCCCCAAAAAAGACAACATGAACTCATTCTCTCTTGCTGTTGCTTCAGTTACAAACTGTCATTACTTCTTTATGCTCAGGCTCTCCCTTCCTTCAAAAAGAGTGGAATGAGAAGAAAGAGAAATAATCATAAATTCATTAGTACTGCAATTATATTTAGAAACATAGGATCACTTGTAACACTTATACTGTTTTATACTACTGAGGAATAAGCTTGGCATTTCAAGAATTCCCAAAGCAGCATCTAAAATTCATGTAAGAAATATAAAAAAAGTGCAAAAACCAATTTCCAAGCCTCCTAACATTTAAGGGTTTATTTAAGCTAAAAAAAAACCCTCTTCAGAAACAAATTAAGGAGAGGAAATATGTGCTGTCTAAATGCTCCACCCAGAACATACCCTCTGCAGACCACAGGGACAACAACCAGTCAGCCTACTTGCACTTTCACAGCCTGCAGTCTTAGTACAGATTTCTTTAGATATACTGCATTCTATATCCCCTCCCCAGAAATAAAGAGCACACCATTAAGTAAATGCTTGTGTAGCTCCAGACAAATAAACTGAATTAGCAAATGAGAGAGATTTGTTTTGAAACGGGCTTTTCAGTTTGCTATGAAACAGAAAGAAGGGAATTACCTTTCTATACACAATGGCTGGGCACCTTATGGAAAAGGTTCAGCTCATGACTGAAAGGCACATTAAAGACCAAACTAGATGTGATTCTAGATGCACACACAGCCTCAGCCTTTGTTCTGACAGAGAAACTACATGGTTGCTTGCCAAAAATTAAGATATAAAACAGCCAAACTCAAAAGCACTGTGGGGTATTGTTATCCACCAGAGTCCTGTAACAGGACATCCTTCAGCTGTAAGAAAGCATCAGCCTCAGAAATTTTCTTCTTCAGCAGCCAGTTCAGCTATAGTTTAGGAAATTCAGAAAGCCTAAAACTTCAGTGTGATCCTTCTTTAGAGCTACCCATATCTATCTCCATGTCTTCTGCAGAACATGGCCAGCTCCAAGCAGAAACACCCAGAGATACAGAGCAAGCTGAGCCCTGGAGAGGTAATGCATGTCTGGAACAGCAGGGAACCCATTTTCCCTATAAATGGAGTTATGGGAGAAATGGCACAGATAGGTCAGCTGAATCCCACCAGAAGGCGAAGGTACCTGTCTGTCTACCACCATTAATTTTCATTTTACAGCAAAAGCTAACAAAACCCATCTGGTATTACTAAAATACCCAGCACTGATTTAAACAGCCTGAGTACAGAAGATGATGTAACGATGACTGAGAATCATCCATTGCACGCTGCTTCAAGATTCCATAGTACCCAAGGGCAAAAAGCTTTAAGTGGTTACAGCCAAGTGACAATTGGTGAAAGACTGTCCATTTCAGTTCACACAGGAATCTAGTGACAAAAGCTGGCTCACTTTACTGTAAGGAGGGAGTCATGCATAGAAGCTTACTATCATCTTAAAAACCCAAATGATCATATTCAAGTGTCTAAGAGTTTGTTCAGAAGTGCAAGAGAAACAGCAGTTTCCATGAAACAGTTTAAACCTGACTTATCAGAAGGGCATATTCTTAAGTTTATTGAACATTTTTTATCTCCTCAGTCCCACCATGAGACCAGAATTAGCTCAGGCTTCAGCTGCTTTTCCTTCCTCACTCCAAGAGGACTCCTGTACCACCAGACAGGTGAGCTTCACCCTGCCACAGACAGTAAGACACAATACTTGTACTTAGCCTCTGCAAAAGACCAAAAACCCTTCCAGTGTTACAGATCCCTCCAGAATTTGAAAGGATGCGGCTATACAGTGAGAATGCTGTCATTAACTGAGAATGCTGTCATTAATGGATTGCAGCAATTAATAGTGAGCCTCAGATCAGAACCAAATCCTCTTCACTATCCTTTTTGCAGAGCTTTCTCCTGTGCTTGAAGGTGCTCCAAGCACAGAATTGAAGTGATCCATGCTAAAGCTATTCTTAGATTTATCATAAAATCCTAGGAATGTTCTGGTTTGAAGATTAGTTAACTATTGATCTATTTGGATGTTTGAGTGGGAAAGCACCTGTAGAGAACAACAGATTTCTAGTACATCTTAATGTGCTTTAGGCACTTTCAAAGAAGAGAAGGTAAAGCAGGAAGGACAAACAAAAAAAACCCCCAAACATAAGAAATCTCACTGCTGTGCATGCTCTGTTGCTGAGATCTGATCTAATATCACTATATTCTGTACCATCAGAAGTCTTCTCTAACAGGGAAACACAACAAATGGAAAATTGAAATAGGTTACAGCATTTAACTTTAAAAACAGAAGAGCAATGATACTTCTTATGATTCCAGAATGAAAAAAAGAACAAAACACTACAAAAGACACAGGAATATCTGGACAATGCTTGTAAAAAACTTTGACAGACACTGTATGAGAAGGAAAAAAAAAAATCACATCTGTAACGAAGAGCAGTATGTTAGAAATCACTTTATATTTGTTTTTAGCATGTCTATTAAAATTGATGGCAAGTGTGACCCTGTTTGTTTTTTTAATGTGTGTTTTGATTTAGGGAAAGGTTGACTGGAATTGAGAACCCTGGGTACAGAAGTCCATTTTGCACAGAAAGAAGGATGCCAAAAAGTGGTTCCATCCAATAAAAATATTTGGAAGATGATCTAGACAGGCAGAGGAATAAATCAAGGAGCTGAAGTAGCTGGATAGTACAAAAGTCCCAGGAATTTATTTTATTGTGGTACCCTCTACTAAATACCAAATAGCTCAGAATTTAAATATTTAAGACACTGCTACATAGTGTACCTTCAAAAGGCTAAGAGCTATCAAAGACAGCTCAGCTGGATAGAAAAGAAGTGCTGTTATTCACGAAGTCCAGCATTACACTAAGTTTGAATGCAGCTGACACACACTCTAACACGATCTGTAAACCTCCAACACAACACTACCCATCATGCAGAACTGCAGAGGCTAAATATTTAAGACACTGCTACATAGTGTACCTTCAAAAGGCTAAGAGCTATCAAAGACAGCTCAGCTGGATAGAAAAGAAGTGCTGTTATTCACGAAGTCCAGCATTACACTAGCTAAGTCTGAATGCAGCCAACACACACTACAACATGATCTGTAAACCTTGAACACAACACTACCCATCATGCAGAACTGCAGAGGCATTTTCACAATTCTCCATGTATTTTGTTTGGACATCAACACTCATACCCAGTTGTGTTCTCTAACATTAGGTTTTGAGAAGCAGACCTGGAAACCTACACATTCATTTTTAGGAGCTTTAGTCATGCAGGGAAGTGCATGCTTTTTTTCTGCTTTTAAAAGCTGTAGCTAGACAACCTCACACTGAAAACAAGGCACAAATAAAGAGTTAAAAACAACAAAAAATTCCCCAACAAAACCAGGAATACATACACAGCAGTACTGTGGTACAGTTAGATCTGGTGTATTCTGGAAGTATCATGACAGAAGCCTCCTCCCTCCTTTACCCTGTTCATTTGACCAAGTTTGAGATACTATCTAACATGTGTCACATGCTCTCATCTTAACAGCTCTGCTCTTCCTGAAGGTCTCCAAGACCTAAAAGAACGCCATCAACTTTGGTCAGCAAAAACTATGTATGTGAGGGATTTGTACATATACATCCCTATAAAAAACCATCCACATATATATATACACACAACCCATACACATAAGTATTAGTTATACATAATTTAAACATACATATCTATTTAGATTGTAAAATGCAATTTTAAAATATACTACATTATAGATATTTACATCTACACCCTCTGAACTTTGTATCTGCTAGGAAGAAGATAGTAATTTGCATGACATGTTCAATATACTTTCTTGAAGTAAAAAAAGTAATTTTAAGCAACTTTTACCAATAAAATTTCATTGAAAATTGCTAATCATCATTACTATTACTTACGTAGAGAAAAACAAACTTTTTTTTTCCAGAACAACTGCAGAGTCTGATTTTTGTTACTTTTATGACAGAATACTGCAACTCAAAGTAAGTTAATTTTCCTCCTTGCTGCAAAATACTTGGTTTATAATTATATCCTATCAAAGAAACTTTCATCTGATCTTAAAAGTCATGCAGTCCTGCATTCAAACAGTTTCCTGACTTGCTATTCAGGCATTTCATGATATTTTATAGTCAGACACCAGGGGAGTACTTTTACTATAGGAAAAAAATATTAAGAGTCAGAAAGTTTGCCATATTTGCCAAGCTGCTATCCAGGAATGCTGGACAAAAAAATATCTAGAGGTGTGGACTCAGACAGGTGCTCCAAAAAATTATTCACATAACTTTTTTTAAAACGTTGATTGGGGGAAAAACCCTCAAACCCCACAACTTATCCAGCAAGCAGTTAGTTTCTTTGTGAACAAAACTGAAGTAGATTTTCTCATATCTACAAAAATGATTTCATTCTTCCACTTTCAGGCAAAACTCACCCCTGAATAGAAGTACACTTCCTTGATCTTACTATACACATGAAACAGCAAAAAAAGATCTACTATAATGGGTTTCCATAGCAGTAACACCAAAACAAACAGTGACCTCAACAGGAAGTGCAGCTCAGCAGACATTACTAAATCATGCTTTGCAAAACACAGAAAAGTGGACTTTGCTAAGTCATCAGCCTTAATGATCTTTGATAAATGAACGGTGAATAGAGTATGTATAGGAGCAATGTCTAAAACACTCAGTGTTTGGTTTTCCAACTGTAACAGAACAAACTAAGTCTCGCGCCATTGAAAAACAGCCACACACAAATTCCACACTAGAGGAGTTGCACCTCTACCCTCCCCCCCCCAAACTGCCCTGCCTCTTCTCCATTGCAGGCAAATTTCTTTTTATAAAGCAAGTATTATACTGTGAAAGTTTATAGAGAACAGACTCACTGCCAGATTCTTATTTTCTCTAGTGAAGCATGAGACGGTGCTGGCAGCACGGCTGAAAAGCAGGACCGTGACCTACTGATTCATTTTACCAAGTTCACAGAGGTGGCAGACAGGGCAGGAATCCAGGCTGTAAGAACAAAGTTCTGCTAGAGTATTCAACACAAAGCATTAAATCTTTATGTTCCCAATAGCCTCAAAGCAAGGTCTGAGAACACAGCATATATTGTATTTGGGAGAAACAGTGGTCTGTTTCTTGCACAAGTACTTTTCAAGCTGGAGATCCTGTTCTTACCCTTCAGCTCTGTTGTGCAATTGTTTTATACAAATGCTATCTTCAGGATCCTCAAATGCAAGAGCAAATCTAATTCCCCCTGAGAAAAAGGAGAAAACTGTACAGTTTACCGTAAATTTGAAAGGAAAATTGTAACAGACCAGGAAAGTCTTAGACTTAGTATTCACAAGGCAGCCAAAAAGACACTATTCACTGCCTAGATATTTGCCAGTTACTTAATAGCTCTAAAAGGCATGGTGAACAGAGTACAAAATTTACATGACCACACATTTGCATATGTTCTGCATACATATTGCTCAGTGCAGAAAGTTCACGCTGAGATTTCTGTTCTGGCAGGCTGTGGCTGTCCAGAGCCCAGGATTCAGACCAAGCGAGACATCTGGCTACACAGCAGTACTGATTCCTTTGGCCACTTATTAAGACAGCAAGATGAGTTTTACAACACATGAAAGAAACCAAACAGAAGAGAAATTAAAAGCCTGAGCCAAAGTAACTGTGCCCTTAAGTTTCCTTCAGAAGAGTATGTTCAACAGGGCTGCTGCTTTTCTGTCATGAGACAAAGTATGTAAGGTATCCACTGCTGGAAGGATGGGTTAGAAATTGTGGAAGGTGGGGCAGTAGCTCTTCCTGCTAAAGAACAGGTACATTGTTGGAGTCCTCGTGGTCTTGTACTGGAGGGAAGCAATTCCAATCAGACAGACTCTGATAGTACTGCTGCATTTGGAGAAAAAAACCCCACCAAACCTAATATCAGCAATGAAAACAGACTTTCTCTGAGTGCTTTTTTTTGTTCGCACAAACCTAGACATGTAGATATAAATGTATGTAGTAGCTTTCCAAACAGAAAATACAGAAGCTCAAAAATGAAGAATGGACTCATGGATTACTGACACTTACAGAAATCTTAGGAATGTCACCTTGGAAACTTCATCTATCAGGTTTCCCAGAAACGGAAAACATTCCATCATATTACCCTGTACAGTTATAAATTAGCAGTTGTGAGCAGGGGAAGAAGCTTTTCTACAGCACCAGCTGAGTGTCTGAGCCTCCACACCACATGCTGTTCCAAGAGGCATTCATTTCCTTCTGCTCTGCTGAACACCAGGGCTACAGAATAGCCAACATCTAAACTCAGAGTTCAAAAATGCAATGGAATTAGTTATCTGGGAACAACATGACAATTCCTGCTTTCTTCTGCCCAGTGTTACAGGAAATTCCTGCCCAACAGGCAGATTAACCACTCACCATTCCATAATATTTAACAGGTTATTTGCCAAGCAACAAATACATACAAGTCACTAGAAAAGAAAAGGTTACATAAAGTACATTTTGGAGGAGAACTCAAGCTATTTTGCTCCAGGGTGCAAGACAAAGACAGGTGAGAACTACAGAATGTGGTAAAGCAACCCATTGCTGCTAATGGACTAAAAATCTGATACAGGCATCTCCACCTCAGGACAAGTTTCTTCTAAAAGACAAGTAGTTCACTGGTTCTGATAATCTTGACTTGACAGTTCTCAGAATGTTCTTCCACCTTTCAAGAAAGAAGGAAGTTCTCAAAAAAGGAGGGAAGCATAAAGATAAAACAAACAGGTTGAGAATTGGAATTAAAGGACAGAAAAGGAAGACATGCAAGTTGACAAGAAACTGTTATTCTATTCGGTGTACAACATTCAAGACATTTTGATTGAATAAATTTTGGTAGTTAAAAAAGAAGACTTTTGTACCAAACTCACTGGTACCTAGTAAAGCTTCCCAGTTCTCCCTGTAGGAACTTTCAGAGAGCCTCTTCTATTCTCCTGGAAAATGAGCTTCATCCCAGTTACAAAGAGAAAGAAGTTGAGAAGATGTGAGCAAGGGAGTGGAGACAGTGCAATAATAGACAATTTTCTCAATATACATGTAGCAGAAACAGAGAAAACGTGATGGTTTTCAATCATAGATATCTCTGCATATTTACACTAAAGCAGAGCAGAATAGAAATACTACTTTAATAAAACAGAGCTTTGCTGATTTCTTTTGTGACACTAGCTTTTGTGTCTATTTGAGCGGGTTCAGAAAAGTCTTCAGGAATCTTCGAAGTTGATGAAGAAAAGAAAGAAAAATATGGCAAAATAGTCAAATAAATTTAAAACACACACAACTACCCAATAATTACAGAGTAATTTCAAGCAAATGTTTAACAGCTACAAGTTCACTTAAATCAAGACTCCATTATCAGCAGAATTTTATCAGTCACACCCCATATTTATTTTCTCTTTAGATGAATAAATTCTGAATTAGAATGCTCTATCTTCCACAAATATGCGTCTCCCACCTCCTGGACTTCAAAAACCTTCCACCAAACAAGCTCTCTGATGCTATCAAGTTTAAGTTCTAAACTGTGCTTAGAAAATACAAGCAAATCTACTCAAAAAGCTTATTTTCACTGTATACAAGGAGTCACAGAAGGGGAACAACTCTGTGCACACAACCAGCTTCTAAAGACAGCAATAGTGTTCAGTACACCCATTCATACACTGACGATGACTGGGGATTGAGATAGGCAGTTCCTCCAAAGCAGGATCCTCACCCAAGTGACACTATCACATGGTGACATCACTTGAAGCAAGCTGTAATTCCAGGCCACCCATTGCTAGCATTTAGCCTTAACAGGTAGCTTTCCACACTACACAACTACTTCCACCCCCGAGTCAGTTTCTAGCCTGCAAGCTGGAAAAGCACACAGGTATACAAAAGTGCATATGTGTATTTTAAAACAAGTCGCTGGCTTTAAGTAAAACAATTCAGGAATAAACTCCCCACACATTCATACAAAATGCATTTCAAAAGACTACTTTTCACATATCAGTGAAGATTATGTACAGATTTAAGCCATGTTCACATCTAAAACTCCTTTTTCCCTTATCAAATAGTATCAAAACAGATAGTACAAATGAATTTTTAATTTTAAAAAAAGTCAGTGCTTTAGCACTACATTTAATTTGTGGAAGAACTAGAAGCAAAGACTTAAAAGATTATCCTACATGAAGTCAGTTTTACATGGTTAGTTTTGGAAACGGATTCAATACAATTGGGTTACCTATCACTTTCTTTTACTTACCTTTTGTTTCTTGCCAGTTTGATGCAACTAACTAGTCAATATACATTTAAAAATAAAGAAAAATCAAGCCCAGGCTTCTCGCTCAAGGTGATAATCCACAGGAACGCTGATAACACTTGTAAGGAGTCAGTCACATCACAGGTCTGAAATGAATCACTAACATAACCACAGAGACTCGGCTGTTTGTAATTTACGTTTCATACCTGCATACACAGCGCACGCACATGAAAACAACCACCAGATCCCGGGGGCTCTCTGGGGGAGCGCACACACGTTTTACCTGCATGACAGCGCAGCCGTACGTCCCCTCCCGGGGCTCCAGCCCGCGGCGGGGAGCCCGGCCGTGAGCGCAGGGGGCACGGGCAGACCGCCCTCCTGCCACGGGGCCCGGCCGGGAGCGCCGGGAACGGCTGATCCCGGCGCCCGAGGCGCGACCCCAGGGCAGTCCCCGCGGGGGCTGCAGCGCCGAGGCGGGTCCGCCGCTCCCCAGAGAGCGGGCAGCGGCGTGCGCGGCAGATACCCCGGCGGGCAGCCCCCTTACCTTCTTCACTTTATTCTCCAGGTTCATGGCGGGGCGGGTCGGGCTCTGAGGCAGCTCCCACGGCGGAGTCCCGGCTCGCGCGCTCCGCGGCGCTCAAACTTCCGCTGCCCTGCGGCAGTGGCTGCAGCCGAACAAAGGCCGCGCGGCAGCCAATCCCCGCCGGCCGCCGCCGGCCCGGCAGCCAATCCCGGCCCCGCCCGGCCCGGCCGTGAGTCAGCCCCGCCGGGGCGGGAGGTGAGGGCGCGGCGCCGGTGCTGCAGCCTCCGGCCGCCGGGTACGGACCGCTGCAAATGCGGAGCCTCCTGAAGCTGAGAAAAGAGGAAATCCTGGGCTATAACGCGAGTGTGCCCTTGAGGCCAGGAGGGCCAGTGGTAACCTGGGCTGCATCGGGAGGAGCGTGGCCAGCAGGTGCTCCTGCCCCTCTGCTCGGCCCTGGGGAGGCGGCATCTGCAGCGCTGGGCTCAGTTCTGGGCTCCTCAGCACAAGAGAGACAAAGAGCTACAGGAGAGGGTCCAGTGAGGGCCACAAAGGTTATTTGGGGTCTGGAGCATCTCTTTTATGAGGAGAGACTGCAGCAGCTGGGCCTGTTTAGTCTAGAGACCACTGCGAGGGGATCCCATGAATGCATATAAATATCTGGAAGGCGGCTGTCAGCTGGATCGTGTCAGGCTCTTCTCAGTGGTGCCCAGTGACAGAATGACGAGCAGTGGCTATAAACTAAACTACAAAATGTTTCACCTCAACGCAAGGAATAACTTAGTCACTTTGAGGATAACAGAGCACTGGAACAGGCTGCCCAGGGAGGTCGTGGAGTCTCTGGAGACATTCCACCGGGCCACGTTCCTGTGCCACCTTCTCTACGTGACCCAGCCTTGTCAGGGAAATTGGGCTGGATAATCCCCAGAGGTCCCTACCAACCCTGCCAACTCTGTGGTTTATTGACTTGAGGAGGAGCAGGAGGCAGCAGGGGCAAAGTTCTACCGTGGCCCGCCTGGGCGAGCCTGCTCCCGAATTCCCAGCGACTTCCTGGGCAGGGCTGTGCCCCAAGGGCTGCCTCCCAGCCTCCCCCTTCCTGCCTGCCGGAAAAGAAGTTGAACTCTGATCCCAGTCTTCAAACACGTATGCTGTGCTCAGTCCGGGGATGGAACTGATAATATAAATTGTATTTTACCTATAATGTATGCGTAATGCAAAATGACAAAAAATTGAAGCATTTGCAAGACTGAATACTTCCATAAATATTTTAATGTTTCATATTTCTTTTATATTTGGAAAAAGTAGCAAGCATTCATACAGACTTTATAGCTACCCTAGGAAGTGATGGTGAAAATTTTGTTAGATTTTTTTTTCATTCACTTGCAGAATCTAGTTACCAGCTTTTCTCAAGTAGATCTTGGGTAATTTTGTTTCTTCCCCAGAGGCCAGATATACTTATATTTCAGCATTTAACTTTTTTGTCTGACACCACTTGTTGAAAGATGTTTGCAACAAAGCAAAAATGTTTTTGTTTGTTTGTTGTCTGTTAGCAAATAAAAGCAAAACTGACTTTTCTGCTAGGACTGGCATCGTTGTGTATGGCATGGGCCAACAGCTCCTGTAGGTAAATCTGTGCAGCAGATCTTGACCAAGAAGTTCAATAAAAACTAAGAGAGGGTGGGGTCAAGCTGTATCATTAGAAAAAAAAAAGACAGAACACAGTCACCAAGTTATACTGCTGTATTTAGAAGTGAACAATAGGAACTGTTGCATGTATTTTGTTTGGTTGGGTTTGACATTTTGGTTTTCATTTCTGGTTCTCACTCTGTTTTGTTTGGTTTAGTGGTTAATTCCTGGTGGTTTGGGGGCTGAAAGAGAAGGGGAAGTTAAAAGTGCCTGATG